TTCTTCCCTAACGTTGCCAGACGCCCCCCCCCCCCTGTCTGTTCAATGGACTATAGGCAGGATGAGGTTAATTCAACAAATGGTCCCCAGTTATAGGCCAGTAAGGAAGCACCCTGACACATCCCTCTTAGGGCAAAGACACCAATCAATACTCCCCTGTGATAACCAGTCAGAGACGCATCCTACCATATTCTTTAAAACAAAATTACGAAATCCTTCCTCACCCCCAGTCAAGCGTGGGGGGCATCCTAACGTATCCTTCCCTGACACGTCCACCAATCCTTCTCTGCCACAGCCAAGAGTAGAGGCATGCTAACACGTCCCTCACTAACAAGTCCAACCAGTCTTGCCCTGGCGTCACCATAGTGCTGCATCTGTCGGCATTCCCCAGACAGGCACTAACGCCTTGGGTACATCTGACGTGTTGACTGTGACGGTCAATGGAGGGTGTTGGTGGAGAGCGGCCAGCTGCCTCAGTGGCCTCGGGGGTACACCAACCTTTGGCAGTGGTCCTCCTGCTCCTCGGGACTTGCACAGTGTTCCTCGCGCGAGTTAATGGAGGAGGCGCGGGAGGTGAGAGAGTGAGACAGGGTGAGAGAGGGAGACGAAGGAATGGATGACGAGAAGGTAGAAGTAATTTAGAATTAAGGAATTGCTAAACTATGATAAGTAAAGATATAGCCGAAGCAGGCGACGAAGGAGATTCAAGGGCTAGTGTAGGGAACGTGGGGGTGATGACGAAGACGAGGTGAGTGGTGAGGAGGAAAGTGAAGAAAGAGTTGAAGCTGAGACCCATAAGATAGGGAAGAAGATGGACACGATGCAAATGAAAGAGAGACGCAGATGTTGATGATGAGGATGATAGGGAGACGCAGACGCTAACGAGGGAGAGAGAGAGAGAGAGAGAGAGAGAGAGAGAGAGAGAGAGAGAGAGAGACGGAGAGAGAGAGAGAGACGCAAAAAGTGACGAAGGAAAGGGGACTGGGCAGGTGATGACGAAGGCGATGACTGCGCAGAGAGCGAGAGGCCTGGGGGTGGCGCGGACAAGTGATGCAAGGGAAGAATGTAAAATTACGGAAGGAAATACCGTGTTGGAGGGTAGGAATATTACTACCAAGAACCTTACACAGTACCACCACGACTCTGAGAAGTGGTTTACACACACACACACACACACACACACACACACACACACACATACAAAATAAATAAACAGTTTAAAATACTATTGAGTAAGAAGACTCTACTGACCACCATGACATCGTGTGAAGGAGCGTATAGGAAAATTCCACCTCAGTTATCCTCTGCAAGCGACTGAGATAACTCTACCTAATGATCATGAGAAGGACAGGGGAGGATAGCGGTGCAGGTGTGGAGAAAAGAAAACAGGTGTGGAGTGTGACGGGGGAAAGGCAGCGGTGGTGGGTGTGTGTGTGTGTGTGGAGAGGGGGGGTGGATAGTCCGGCCCGCCACACACACACACACATACATACACACACTCATACACATACACACATCTGCCGCCGCACGCTCCCGCCACCACCAGTGAAAGTCAACAGCTAATACACCCACATAGTTCATACTGAAAAGCAAATTTCGCAACAAGAGTGAAATGAATCTTAAACGGAGAACATATCCTTTGCTCGCCGCTGTAAATAATGAGTGAACAAAAAGGGCTAAAGAACACAGCTGCAGGAAGTGTTTTCTCTTTCTGCCTCCACCAAGATATATAAGTCTGTTCTGTAGCAACTCTTTCTACCAGGTTCCTTACACCCCGTTGTTCGTGTGTGTGTGTGTGTGTGTGTGTGTAAGTTTTATTTCCTCCAGGTAGACACATAAACAAACCCCCAACAGAACACAACACGACCCCCCTCTCTCTCTCTCTCTGCGTGTCGTGTTCCATTGTTGTCAACATCTGTCACACACACACACACACACACACACACACACACACACACACACACACACACACACTTCAAGAGGAATTGATTCATGAAATACTGACTCAAGGAAGACTGTCCGAGGACGACATTCTATACTTGTGGAGAACGCGAATTAGACCTGAAGGATGGAAGGAAAAACTAAGGACTCATTTACAAGGGATAGGAAGGAGAGGAGACGTAGTGGACCCTAAAGAAGGAAAAGAGAATACAAAGAAAACTAAAGAAATTCAGAGGAATCTGAGAATAGGGAGAGACGAAAATAATTAATGAGAGAGAGAGAGACAGAGACAGACAGGGAGAAAGACAGACAAACACAGAGAAAGAAAAGGTAAGAGACAGAGAGAGAAGAGAGAGAGAGAGAGAGAGAGAGAGCACCTCACTCTGAGCTCCGTGGCACCGTGTTCTTCTCTAGACCAAGTTCAACACGACGGTCGCTGACCCTCTTGGGGGGGGGGAGACGCTGCCGCAGCCACGACAGTGTGTGATTTTCAATTTGACCCTCTGTGATAAGTTCAGGACGGCGCTCTGTTGACTTGGTGATGGTGGTAGTGTGTGTGTGGGGAGAGGGTAAATGTGTGTGTGTAGTGGTGGGAAAGGGTATGTATATGTGTGTGTGTGTGTGTGTGTGTGTGTGTGTGGTAGGAGAGGTGTGTGTGTGTGTGTTTTGTGTGTGTGTGTGTGTGTGTGTGGTAGGAGAGGGTGTGTGTGTGTGTTTTGTGTGTGTGTGTGTGTGTGTGGTAGGAGAGGTGTGTGTGTGTGTTTTTGTGTGTGTGTGTGTGTGTTAGGTTCTATTAAAGACCTTAAATATATCTAAGTGTATATTCGTGGATTCCTTCTTTATCTCCTTTCCTTTCTCTTCTTTTCCCTTCTATTTATCCCTCCCCTTCCCCTCCCCAGACCCCCAGCAACACAGAACACTAAGATAGACCATCCTCGGTGCAGGGAACAAGTGAATTTCTATAATGCAACATCACGTCTTCTCTTCCTCACGAAAAATGATATAAAACAGTAATTACTCTAGACTACGGCCCCAGTGATAACGACGGCGACACTAAAGGAGAGGAAGGGGAAGAGGGAGAGAGGGAGGGAGAGAGGGAGAGAGGGAGGAAGAGAGGGAGGGAGAGAGGGAGAGAGGGAATATCTGCACGTGTAGGGGCGGGGCACACGACACCTGCTTTCCACAACACAACTTTCACAGCTGTTCGACCACATTTTGTTTACATAAATCAGCTGTTACTGAGAGGAAGGGAAATGGGAGAATAACAGGAAATAGAAAAGGAAGTGGAAAAGAATCAAGAAAGGGGAGACCTTTTGGTAATGAAGCGAGATATAGGGAATGGGGCGAGAAGGAGGATAGGGAGGGTATAGGGATGAAGAGAGGAATAAAAGAAGAGGAGAGAGGTAGGGGGGTATTAAAACCGAAAGGGAGGGTGGAAGTGAGAAAGGAGAGTTGGAGGGAGAAAAGAAGGGATGGAGGGAGAAAGGGTGGAGAGAGAGAGAGGGAGAAGGAGCAGGGAGAAGAGACAGGAAGGCAGTAAAGGAAGACGGTGTGTGGTTCTAGTTATTAAACCAAGAGACTGTGAGTGTGTGTGTGTGTGTGGTCTCCGCTACACCCAACACAGCCTCCTTCAAGAGTATAACGGTAGGGTGGCTCTCACTCCCGCCGTGTCCACCAGCCTCTGTCAGCCACTACGTCATTCATTCACCTGGGGAGTAACAGACAGACAAAAGCATCTCTCCGTTTTTTTCTGTGGGGTTCGATCCCTCGTGACCAAGAAAAAAAACAAAAATGGTTCCTGTATCTGCAGTCAATAGCGCTCAAAGTTACTCCTGTCATCTCATCTCATCTTCTTTTTAGATTTATGAACAACAAAGTGCTATTCCACATCCCTCCTTTATTGTGAGTCAAGTGTTGGCACACTTACTGTACCGAACACCTTAAACATCACTGTCAAAGCCATCGTTTGACAAGAAGTTGACACCTTCATTTAGAACAATACATCAACCAGGAGAGGTAAAATGACCCTAAAGAACCCGTGCCATAGTGACCAGATTGGCGCCTCGGCTTCCGGCATTACTCACCAGAAAGTAAACAAACCGAAAAAGCGGTCTCCGTCAAATCGTGAATGCCAGCCAGTGTTTACTGTGTGTGGCTGGAGGCGACTTGGAGGCAGCGGCCGTAACTCCTCCAGGCGCCCAGCTGATCTCACTACCGCGCTGTTTGGATGGTTGCTTGTTCCAGTGTGTCCTCACCACTGTACAACTGGTTATCTATACTTCATTGTTGTGTTGTATGCATGAATGGGATTTTAAATGAAGTATATTTTATGACACATGCAGTTTCATTGACATTATTAATTTTAAATCAACCATTCCCTATAAGATGGCATCACCCAGCGGATAAAAGTCAAAATTCTCTTTAGCTAGACCCCAGGCTGCAAACTCTAACAAGAGAGAATCCTTTACACTCCTACAGTAAGCAGTTCTTCTCACAAACAGATCCTCTCGAGGGCACAGGGAAGAAAAAAAAGATCCCCAGCACAAAGCCTCTGCCCAAGGGAGCACCGTACGCGCGCCACCCCCCGGCAACCAGCTGATCTCGCCCACACCAACAATGACTTCCTCGCCTCGGATGATGATGATGAGTTTCTCGGGGATGATAATGTTTCGTGTAAGGAAGATAAGGGCAATTGTAGAGGATTTTTCACAACACAGAAGGTGCAAAATACAGGTTATGTATGACGTTAGTGGAGGCGACGGCGCTGACCAGGAGGACCTCTACCACCACATGGCTCTACTGCCTCTACTCTCCCCCTGGTGGGCTACAGCGACACCTGATAACTCGAATCATTTTGAAGTGTATGAGGGACAAACACGCTTATGGTGATCTTGTAACACTAATTACAATGACTTGTTTTAACCTCTCATAACAACGGGTGTTGCCACGGATCACAGAACAAGACAGCACGGAGATATGAGGGCACAGTACCTCGCTGCCCACACACACATTTTTCTCAGAATTCACCACAAAAACGTCAAGTTGCAGCATAGACTTACCTCATCGTCAACATCGTCCACTACGTCATCAACAACATCGTCCACAACATCATCACAAACATCGTCCACGTCTTGCATGATCTGTCCCTCTATGACGGAGAAGACCTGGGTGCTGTTAGTGGTGGTGGTGAGGGAGATAGGGGTCGTCACTTGGTGTTTACGGAGCGAGAGCACGACCCCTTCAGTATCATCAGGAGACTTGCGTTTGAGAGCCTCTGACGGGCTCCCTACGTTCAGTGGGGACATGGCCATCATGTAACACGTGATCTACACAAATTTCTTCCTGCCAGACACTGTTTACAGCCCACAACAGTGATCCAAAACACTGGAGAGGCTTCGTTCTAAGATTTTCGGATCACAAATTTCCAAACATCAGCTTAAAACAACAAACAGTAAACCAACGTTCATTAGATAATCGCAGTTTCTTCTCACCCACTGATCGTCTTTATGCTTTGTCCTTAACCTTGAAGATCCCTCACGTTGTCCTGTTGCACTTCTCGAGATTTGTTTCACTCTTCTCCAAGTCCGCTTCCTGTACAGCACCACAGGATCACGCTCTCGTCAACGCAACACACAATATACGCCACATATCCCTCGGTATGCACAAGCATGCAAAATGACGTCGGGACACGAGGAGCAAGGACAGAGGGTGGCGTCTAGTTAGCCTGAGGGAATGCGACTGCCAGACCCAGGAGTCTTATGCTTGAGTGACGCCAAGAGAGGAGGAGGAGAAGGAGGAGGAGGAGGGGGAGCAGGTAGACCAGGGGGAACTGCTCACCTGCCATTATCTACCTGAAGGGACCAGATACCCGCATGCCCACCCCATCACCATATTCAGCCCGGGCACCTGGTCATTGTGCACGCTATTTTCAGTCTTATTAACTCTATGAAAAAGGGACGACTCGAAGGCACAAATGGTCGAACAATTCTAAGAATAAACGAAATGAGTGGACAGTGCTTAGAGTCCCCCCGGCCCACCTGTAGCCAGGTGTAGTTGCCACTCCTCGCCAGGTACTACTACTGCCTCTGTTTTACCTTGTCCACACGTCAACATTGTGGACCTGACAGCATTCATGAACAGACAAATATATACAACATTTATAGAAACGTCAACAGGGTCGTTACCAGAGCTTAAACAGAATTACTAAAGAAATAAGGCGTTTGTCTCGGATGATTAATGACGATCGTTCCTCTAAATGTATCTACTTACGTCACACGCGACTCATAGTGACTAAAGAACCTGAGAATTCATGGTCTGGATCAATAAAGCTTCATCAGTGCATTACTAGCTGTGGTGAAAAGTGCTTGAGTGTGGTGGGCAGGGTGGTGATCCCTGGCAACTCTTCCACGTACCCCCATCTGGCTGGCTCAGCTCCGCCCGTCGCGTTTCTTCTATCTCATTGTAATTCTGACCAACGTCTAGACTGACCTGGGCGGTAAGCTTTTTAGTCTGCGCTCTTTTCGCCTCCTCTCCCTCCGTCTTACATCACTTTTTTGATGTGTATAAGTTCTAGGAGAAGAATATAAGGAGAGAGGAGCGAGAAGAGCTTCGGGATATAGCGGCGCCAGAGATGAAGGGTGTGTGGGTTACGCTCAGGTGTCCCATGTCCCGGGACGTGCTCGTCGTGTACCGCTGTAGGGCATGTATAGTAAACAACCGTTGTCACTCTTATTACCTCACCTACTCTCGCCATAATCTGCTACGGCCTTATTTACCTCTGTCCTGATGCCCACGACTGGTGCAAGAGACAAAATAATGTGCGTGATTGGAGCTACACACCCGATTTACTATCAGATGTCCTGAGGCGAAGGCAGGGCTGTAGGAAACTTGGCAACGCAGGCCACCGCCTGAGGCGAGACGTGGCAACAGTGGCGCGCGGTTTGCCCGATGGCGGGTTTTACCTTGAAGCTGTACTGGACCATGCAAATTGATTCGTGCGTTTTTATATATTTTCGTGTTAAGGGGAGATACATTTTCATCAAAAAGTAAATACAGATGAGCGTAGTGATGTACACCAAGCGACAGCTCTACATAAGGTGAGCGTCGGATAGGTACTTGGAGAGCATTGAAGTCACCACAGAGGCTGATGAGGACCTAAATCTCTAAAACGAAAACTTGCGTACTGTTCCAGTCATTGTGAGAATCATGCCCCTGGTCGTAAACACGACTGGAAGGTACCACAGGGCTTTTGTGGCGGGGCCTTGAAGGAAAATGGATGGCAGGTACCGAAGGACGGAGAAGAGATGAGAGAGATAAAGAAGGAATAATGAGAAAAGCGTTAATTAATAAGTAGAAGAGTCCTAGAAGAACATTTCTACCGCGAGGTCTGGAACAAGTCGGCTGCGGAAACAATGTTACGACAACCCTGCTCTTCCACCACCACCTCCGCCTCCGCCTCCGCCTCCTCCGCCTCCTCCACCGGTCAGATGAGTTTTAACGACGGCAGCAGCTTTTCCCTGTGGCTGGCAATAAAAACCTCAGGCCGTGTATTGGACGGCCAGAGGACCTCGTCTACTTTTGGCGCCGTCAGTCCACAGACAACCTCAAGACCTCAGTAAAATTAACAACTAACACCCGTATGTCGACCGAATCATCTGGGACCTCTGTTGGAGCTCTTATCTGCAAGTTCCTGGGGAAGAAGGCAATTGAGGGAAGGGAAGTGTGGGGAGGAGGGTAGTGTGGGGAGGAAGGGAAGTGTGGGGAGGAAGGGAAGTGTGGGGAGGAAGGGAAGTGTGGGGAGGAGTGGGAGAGTGGGGAGGAGAGGGGATGTGAGGCAAGTGGCTGGCTGGCTGGCTGGTATCTTGGTAGGCAGGCTAGACCTGACCGGCGGTGTGGGCGGTGGTGGCCGTGGGGCGGTGGGGTGGGGGTGGGGCGGGGTGGGGTAGGATTGGGTGAGGATGGTGGTGGTGGAGTAGGCGCGCGCATACCATTCTTTCCGGCTGCAAAAGGAAAGGATCAAAACTTCCCCATTTATGATATTTTTATTGTGTGTGTGTGTGTGTGTATGGAAGAGGAAGGGAAGAGGAGTGGGTGAGGTAGTGTTGTGTGTGTGTGTGTGTGTGTGTGTGTGTGTGTGTGTGTGTGTGTGTGTGTGTGTGTGTGGAAGAGGAAGGGAAGAGGAGTGGGTGTGTGTGTGTGTGTGTGTGTGTGTGTGTGTGTGTGGAAGAGGAAGGGAAGAGGGAGGTGAGTAGTGTTGTGTGTGTGTGTGTGTGTGTGTGTGTGTGTGTGTGTGTGTGTGTGTGTGTGTGTGGAAGAGGAAGGGAAGAGGAGTGGGTGAGGTAGTGTTGTGTGTGTGTGTGTGTGTGTGTGTGTGTGTGTGTGTGTGTGTGTGTGTGTGTGTGTGTGTGTGTGTGTGTGTGTGTGTGTGTGTGTGTGTGTGTGTTCATGGTATAATACGAATTTCACGGTGAAAAATCCCAGTGTTGTATTTTATTATTATTAATATTTTTTGTATAAGTAGACGTCAGGTTATTTGTTTATACACGGTGAACCTGTCTGTATGTCTGTCTGTGTCTGTATGTCTGTCTGTAGGTCTGTCTGTCTGTATGTGTCTGTATGTCTGTCTGTGTCTGTATGTGTCTGTATGTCTGTCTGTATGTCTGTCTGTGTCTGTATGTCTGTCTGTGTCTGTCTGTCTGTATGTGTCTGTATGTCTGTCTGTGTCTGTATGTCTGTCTGTGTCTGTACGTCTGTCTGTGTCTGTATGTCTGTCTGTGTCTGTATGTCTGTCTGTGTCTGTATGTCTGTCTGTATGTCTGTCTGTGTCTGTATGTCTGTCTGTATGTCTATCTGTGTGTCTGTATGTCTATCTGTGTCTGCCTTCCTCTGTTAACTTATTGCTTCTCTGAGGTTTTATTGTGTACTTCTATTTTCTCTCTTATCCTCTCTCTTTCTCTGTTCCTGTACTTTCTATCTCTCTCTTTTTCTCTCTCTTTCTTTAACCCTGTCTCTCTCTTGTATTTCACATATCATATCTCTCTTACTTTCTCTTATTCTATTGCTTTCATATATTCGTTTCTCCTTTCTTCTTTTTTTCTTTACTTTCACTTTCTCTTCATCGTTTTTAGTCTTTTATCTTTCAATGTTTGTCTCCTATCTCATTCGTCCTCTATCATTTAGTACGCACACACACACACACACACACACACACACACACACACACACACACACACAGCATTATACATAGAGGCCCCAGCACGCGACCAGGGTATCCTCAAAGCGCCATGTAGTTCAGGCCTTCATTGTTATCACCGCCGTGTTTGCTACTCCAATAGCGTCTGTTCATGCTCGCCCTCGCCACTATACTACCCAACTGAGGGCTTTGATCAGCCAGAACATGTTGGCCGGGGAGGAGTTTGTGGGCGTGGAGGAGGTGTAAGCCTGACCATGGATGTGGGTATCGGTGGAGGCATTGTGGGAAGGAATGAAGAGGGCACAGAGGAGGGTGTGGAGAGTGGGTGGTCACGTGCATGGGTGTAAAAGAGGTGTGGAGGAAGATACGGGCGGCATGGAGTGTTGTGGGCGTAGACACGGGCGTGGAGGAGCTATGAGCGGGATCATACACAGATAACAAGGCTGAAGATCAGAGCATAAGTGACCCTATTCGGCCTCAACATAACCTCCCGCCATAATATACGAGGTCATCGATAATTCCGGTTCGTGTAAGGAAGCATCCGTGTGAGGGACTTGGTCTCTACTCAGTTGGATGCCGTTTTAATGTTACGGAGGGTCAGATCCTGTATGATGGAGGACTGAAGGGAGCTTTGAACCTGAAGTACTGGTGTGCTGAAGGTGCTGGAGATATCGGTGGTGCAGCACAGGTGAGTAAAAAGGTAAGAAAGTCACTCGATGTTTATGAGAGACGACAGGTATATCATCAACTTTGTATAGGATTCAAACAGGAGTTAAGTTTATTTTTAGGGTTGGATTTTTTGTACAACATTCTGCTTTGTTTTTGTTATTATACACGGGAGAAAAAAAGGTTATCTACCCTTATCTATTAATACATAACGTAGATATGTTGTAAAATATTGATATACACCTTTGTAGCATCAGATCCAGCTGGGAGTTTAACACGAAGTGGCAACTGATCCTATGATAAGAAGAGAACCAGGTGGGGTTGAGTACTGGTCGCCAGCTGGTTCTCTGATAGGAGTAAAACTAGTTTGGAGGTTAGGTTAGGTTAGGAGCTGGTCCTCTGGTGGCCACGTGGCTGTAATCCCCACCCCCCCCCCACCCCCATCGTCTCTCCAGTAATGACCTGTTGAGTTCTCCAGCAAAAGATAACATTAAACCACGTAATTCCAGCATCTGTGACACTACAATATTACTCTATAATTTTGTGGCTTGAGCTGACTCCTCCAGTATTAATCTAAGTCCAGAAACTGTGGTACTTAGTGGTGTTACGGTCCGTGGTTAAGCTTGTGACTGTCACTGCATAGAATCTCACATGATGAGTTGACGGACGTGTGAGAGTAATCTTTGTCGAGGGGCAATATGTTACACACGTTACGTAAAGTTAAAACTGTACACGAACGGATTCATAATGACGGAGATGGTTCAAGGAGTTTCTGGGTTCGGATAATCTATTTGCGAGACCAAATGTCCCCTAGCCTGGATCCTTAAAGGTTTATGGGTCGTTTTGGCAGTGAACCAGACAATGAACCAAGCAATGAACCAGGCAGTGAACCAGGCAGTGAACCA